CCTCCCTCCCTCCCTCTTTCTTTCTTTCTTTCTTTCTTTCTTTCTTTCTTTCTTTCTTTCTTTCTTTCTTTCTTTCTTTCTTTCTTTCTTTCCCTTTTCAATGAGGATTTTCAGATGGGCCTTTTGCTGTCTACCTGTACTTCTCAGTCTGCTCCCTCTAATGTTTTCAGAACTCTGTCAAACTAACTCCTCTCGTCCTGAACTTCAAAGACATAGTTCCTGTGTAATCTTGAAATAGTTAATTGAGATAGACTGTGTGTAATTATTTGGATGACAAATGCCAGCCTTGAGAAATCACTCTGCCTTCTGTTAGTTGTCTATTTCAGCAGACATCTCCATGGCAGTATACACCCTATAAGCACATAGATAGCTGTTAAAAGGGATACTATAGTAAGTTTTGAAACATTCTTTAGCTCTTTTTTTTGAACTTTGATGAGGAATGTGCATACTGTAAAATAAATGAAAGAAAGAGAATGATGCATCCAATGTGTAGTAACTATGCCAGAGTTATAGTAGAGTATGCATTTTTTTCTTTATATGAACACCTCTTCCATCAGGTTTTATTCAGTGGTATTGAAAATATGTAAATCCTTCTCATTAAAATGTATCCATTAATTTGTTCCTTCCAATGCATTTGTTTATTTTACATACATATGAATGTGGGTACACGTGTGTGTGTGTGTGTGTGTGTGTGTGTGTGTGTGTGTGTGTGTGCATGCCATGTCGCATGTATTGAGGTGAAAGGACAGCTTCGAGTCAGTTCTTCCCTTCCACTATGTGAGACCTGGGGATGGAATTCAGATCAGGCTTGGTAGCAGGCACCTACTTACCAAGCCATCTCAATGGTCCAGGTGTCTTAGTTAAAATGGATACTTCTTTCTTTACAAAAAGAACTCAAAAGATTTTAGGGCCTGACTATAAAAGACAGCATGCACATACATACTTTGGTTGTCCACTGCATTGGTGTGAAAGATAGTGCCTCTGCAACTAGCAAGAACTATAAATGATACATTATTGCAAGTGTTCTAAAAAATCAGAACAAACTAATTTATTGTACTTCTGTCTTCATTATACACCAAGTTGGTGAGTTAAACACAACAAAATTATCTTTTCTTTTTTTAAAAGTGTCTACTAAAGATAAAAAGAATATAGTAACAATTAACATGTAGTTCATTACATTAGAAAATCTGATATACATATTTCTATTGCCTGTTAGCTTGTTCTAAGCCTCTTCAACTATTACAAAAGAAAGAGGAAGGAAAGAAAAAGAGGTTGCTGAAAGGCAAACATTCAGTTCAGTTGATACAACATTACAGTACAGCCAACTAACATCATTCAACAAAGTAGCAAGTTTCGTCTTAGCTTGAGTTCAAAGTCTGTAGACCAGATTGCTACGAAGGATTTAATGCTGCTTCCAAACCATATGTTAGCTTTTGAGAGGACACGGTTCTTTGTAGTGATGGCTTCAGAAGAAGGGGTCAAGCACAGAGGAACCCCCACCTGTCAGTAATCATTTTATTGAGCATTGTAGTTAAGACAGCATTATTGAGTTTAGCACATCAACTAAAATAAAATAATAATAATATAATAATATAATAATCATAATAATGATAAGGATAAAAACCAAACACAAACTGGCAGCTGAGAGCCACTACCAGCCGTGTGAAACCCTTGCGATACGCTATACTAAAAAACTTTGAAATATCCACCCATCCTCTCCACTCTGCCACAAACTAGCAAAGTCAAAAGTACAAAAGTCTTCTTCACCTTGTTATTTTTGCAGAATAAAGCAAAAATGTCTTTGTGCTCCTTACTACCAGAAGCAAAATACCCACTGAGTTACCACATGTAATAGCTTCTGGATGTGTCGACCTGGGTTGGCTTGGTGTCTGCTGAGCCATCCTTATCCTTCTCGCTGTCTCCTTCCCAGAGGTTAATGAGTGGGGGGTACAGCTCGTTCAGTGGGATGGAAGAGGTTTTTTGCATATACTTTTTTAGCGAATGGTGGTAATTTTTCCTCTTAAACCTTTTGGCAATGTACACAGCAATGGATGCAAGGCTGATGACAGCAAACATCGACCCCATCACCGCAGCAAGGGCTGTGCTGGTTTCGTGGTCGGAGATGTCCAGGGTGAAGGCAGCGTTTTTGGTTGTGACATTGACACACGACTTTTGAGTCTGCTGGTGGATGTTGGACACCGTGAGACACACTTCGTAATCTGTAGAAGGCTGAAGATGTGTTAGGTTATACTCATGGACATCCACTGGAACCCTGGCTGTGTATGTGATGTGGGGGTTGTCAATCTTCATAGTGGCAGATGACCACTTTAAGTTTGATGTCATGACGTTGGAGTTAACTTTCCAGGACACTAAAATCGAATGAGACTCTGTCTGTTTGACATATATTTTCAGCACCTGGGCACCATCTAGAAGGGTTCCATTAACCTTGATGGCTGCCACTCGAGTATCAGCCCCTTGGACATTCTGGGCAACACATGTGTACCTTCCCGAATCTTCAATCTGTATATTCACTATTTCCAAGGTGCCCTCATTACTCAGCTTGTATTTATCTGAAAGAGTTTCCACGGTTATCTTATTTCCAATGGGAGTGACCCAGTAAATTTCTGGCTCCGGCTCAGCCATGGCCCGACAGTCTAGGAAAACTGTGGTGCCGATGTCCATGTTTAAATGATTTGGGAATGTGTCGTGTGATATCATTGGGAGGCACTGTTCACTGGAGTCCTGGATTAACACCTCCTTCACCTGCTGCCCTCTGTATTCAGGCGGCATGGCACAGAACATGGAGAGGGGCTCCATGAAGCGGATGTTGGTTTTGTTGGAGTTAATCCAGTGGATGACACAGTCACACCGCAGGGGATTGCTGTGGATGCTGATCTCACGTAGATTGGGAAGAGACTCTACGGTCTTTTGGTAAACGGCATTCAGGGCATTGTTGTTCAACATCAGGCTTTCTAGAGCCGGGACGCTTCGGAAAGCCAAACGGTGGATGTATGACAGTTTGGGGTTGTTGGTGGCTTCAAGCTTTGTCAGTTCAGGCAAGTTATCCAGGGCGTAGCGGTCCACCGAAACCAGCTCTCCCATGTTGTTGATTCCCAGTTCTTTCAACCGAAGCATATTTTTAAAGTCCCCTTCTTGGATTTTGTGAATGGGATTTTTATTGAGGTCTAAGAATTTCAAATTTGGAACTTTCTGCAGAGCAAGTTGAGGGACTTTGATCAGTTTGTTGTCATAAAAAGACAGGCTCTCGAGGCTGTCTAAGCCTACCAAGGCATTTCCAGGAACATCAGTGAGGTACATTCCTGCCAAAACTAGGCTTCTCAAGTTGGAGAGAGGTCTGAAGTTCATGTCCAGGATTCCAATCACAGGGTTTTCCCCAATCATGAGAATTTCCAGGTTGGGTGTAGAATCAAACCAACGGCTGTCAATCACTTTCAATTTATTGGAATTCAGGTGCAGCCTTAAGAGATTTTTTAAGCCAGAAAAAGCATTAGCTGAGATGGTACTGATCTGGTTATGGTTGATGTAGAGTTCTTGAAGGTTGCTGAGGTCTTGCAGACAGTAATCTGTCATCTCCGAGATCTGATTTTCCTCTAGATGCAGGGTCGTGAGCTGGGTCAAGTTGGCCAGTCCTACCTCTTTGATGTTTGTAAAGTTGTTCTGGGAGAAATCAAGCTCAGTCAGGTTGAAGAGCTGCTGAAGCTCATCTACGGTCTTGGCGATGTTATTGCTCTGTAGGAGAAGCACTTGTGTGTCACTAGAAAGGTTGTCAGGGATCCTTGTTAGACGGAGGTCATTACAATCAACAGTGGTGGCTTCTCTGTATGTGGACTGTGGGGTAAACCAAGGGCGAATTTCACACACGCAAAGCTGGGGACACTCACTATTCAGTATGGAAGACTCAGTTAATGAAGTCATCAGCAAGCCCAGCACCATTCGGCAAGCTGCTATCCCAATGCTCAATCTGGCCATGGTGGCTTGTGGAACACACTCAGTTCCTGATCAGGATCTGAACACTGTTTAGTGGCTAGTAGAACAGCAAGCAGATAGTGTAAACATTCAAGCGAGTCTCAGTTGAGCAGAATTCCAGAGTTGGAAAGGATGGTTTTCGGAACTTCCCAAGAGGCACGAAGCAATCTGAAATCCTTTAACCATGTCACTCAATTCCAGGCATGTGCACAGGTCCGTGTTGGAGCTACTTCGGCCAAGTCTGGAGATGTGTCTGAAAATTAAATCAGGAAAGACATTATGCTTATTCTGTAGACTCTCTTTTGTTTACTACATGGGCATAGTCACTCACATAGCTGAAAAAAATGTGTTCAAAATGCATTAGGAGTATCTAAGTAGACTTAGGATACTCTGATTATCGCCCACTTACTACACTGATACTACTTAGAATTCCTTTAGTTTTATAATTAGAACTGCACATAGTCCAGCATAGTCATTAAACACACAGGCATACTTTAGAAAATCCTAAAGATGACATTCATTTAAAAACAAAATTTACTTTAGAAACTGCACATTTATGCTTCTAAAAAGTTGAATGGTCAGTCTTAGTAAAAGTCAAACATGGATAGTAGTTCATGAAAGACTCAGCACATCCTAAATTATCTATGGTATTTACATTAATACCACATTTGTTTTCAAGGATTCTTTCTTTTCCAAATGCTACATTCTGTAGATATTTTCAGCCAGAGTGTTTCAAGATCAATTGCTTTTATGTAAGAAGTCAATTTCATAAAAGTATGGGAGGAAAATGGAAACTCTTCCTATATTCTAATAGCCATATGATCACTGCTGAATAAAGTAATGACTACTCTGCCTCACTAAAAATCTTCATTAAAAACACAAATATATTCAATACCTACATGTGGAAATATGTCTCAGGCAAGAAACAGTGGTGTGTGGTAGAACACTGGCCTATATGAACAAGACTCTAACTCCAGTCCTAGCACCAAAAAAGAAAATGTGTCATAATTAACATCTATGTTTTTATTACATTCCTTTGAATATTACTGGCTACTTAACAGCCACAGACCATGGATCTGGTGTATCATCTCTCAACTTCTTCAAGTTAGAAAATAGGGTTGCTCATAAAGTATTATTGAAGAATTGACTCTACATTAAAAAACAAAACACAGGAATCTGTATAAAACTCTGTACAGTGTTTGGCACATATTAAATGCTCATAAAAGTTGTATTTGCCATCTATGTTTATGTTATTGTGTTTCTACATAATGTAGTCTTAGCTCAAATAGTAGTTCTCAGAAGACACATAGCTGATGCTATTGACTTAAGTATTGGTTTTAACAAGATACCAGATAGAAAAAAGGGTAACATGCATGTCTTGCCAACTTATATAACACCAGTAGTTACCGGTTCTAGTATTCTGAATTCCAACCAGGTATAAAAAGTCATTATACATCTAACTGGCATTAATCTTGCTTTCCTAAGAACAGACTGGCCACTTGATAATTACACTTAAGTATAATTATATATTTCCTTATATTTTTCTGTCATAATGCACTTTATCTTTGAATACTGAAGAACTTCAGTGACTGGTGTTTTCTAGAAACATTCATTAAGAACAGTGTACATAGCTCCAATGTTCAGAACACAGCAAGCTCCCACTTCAGGTCAGCACTTTGTGTTATCTTTTTACTTTGTAAATCATATGCTTGCCGCTGATCAAAAGCCATGATAATACAGCCAGTACAAACAGTTGAGTCATATTTTAGTAGAAACTTTTTAAAAGCCCTAAAACTAATTTGTTGTTTTATTAAGTATGCAACTCTTGTTACTAGTCTCACAAAATAAAATCATACCATTCAGATTGTGACAAGTCTGAGGTGAAATGAATTTGTGCGGCTTTGATGCTAAAAGCTTGCTGGTCTGTGGGAAAAAACATTTGGTATTGTTTTTGCCCTCACCACCGAATCTGGTTACTTTGCCATTTATTATGTGTTTGAAAACTGTTCAATAGTATCAAACTACCTGATTTTGATGTTTATCAGTAAATTCTAAAACAGGCAAACATGCAGAATAATATTTTGCAAATATCGTTAACTTCACCAGTTTATCCTATGTTTGTTTCTGTTTAGATCAAGTTCAAAATAATTTCAAGGGAATTACAAACTTAAAAAAATTCTGCCAGAGTTTATTCCTAAATCTTAATTCATAATAGAAAGCCAAGGGTATAAACCTACCTTTCAGAACTCTGGGATGGTATTAGAGCAAATTTTATGTTTCAATTGAATTTAAAGAAACATATTAGGAAGCAAAGTATGCATTAAACATGCTTGAGAAACTCCAGAAACAGTGTATTACTATTGAAAGGATAACTTTAGTTGGTCTATAGTCTCCCTGGTATTATGAGAAATATATCATTTATCTTAAACTACAGGATGAGATAATTATATCCAAGAGCTCAAATTTGTCTTTGCATATACATTGCCTCAACCAAATGACCAACCATGAACCTCAGAAAACAGAAGGTCAGATTTCATATCAAATATGTCTCCCAACCCTGAATGTGGCTCTTTTGGAAGCAGACAATGAAACTTCTAGAATACAAAGGATGAATGTAAGACATAGGTTCCAGTGGAACACTGAACTCAGAAATCATTTTTGACAAGGTCTACACAGCTGGAAAGGCACAGATAACACTGGCAGAACTGGACAGCCACATGGGAAGAATTAGCCCGTGACCTTAGCTGATATTGTCGACGAAAATTAACTCAAATTACAAGGAAGGCCTAAGTGTAGCACACAAAATAATAGAATTCCAAGAAAAAAGGAAAGAGGGTAAGTTTCAGTTTTGGGTTTGACAGTTATTCCTTGGACTTGACACCAAAAGGTCTGGTACAAAAGCAAAAATAGACAAGTAGGATGATTTCACACGTACAGCCTTCTGTGCATGAAAGAAATCAACAAAATACAAAGGCAGCCTAAAGAATGGGAGAACACATTCTGAAGTCATCTTTCAGGAAAAGGATTAAAAATCAGGACTAGTAAGTCCAACAACTGAACAACAGCAGTAAAAACAAAACAAAACAAAACAAAACAAAACAAAACAAAACAAAAACATAACCTAACTAAAGCAATGTTCTTCAAAGAAAATATCCAAAGGACCAACAAGCAATGGGGAAAACAAAACAAAACAAAACAAAACACCTTAACATCACCGATCATAAGATACATATGGATTATATTTGAGAGTATATGTTATACATTTTGATATGATATGAGATAACTCATTATCATCATTAGGATGATCTCTGTCACAAAGTAGAAAATAAGAAGCAGTGGTAAATGTGGAGAAATTGAAAGCCTTATGCATCGGTGAGGATGTATAATAGAATGGTCATTGTAGAAAACAATGTAGGAGGTTCTCAACAAAGTATAAACACAGTGTGAAATTCTCAAGAGTACAATTGGCTTTCAGTATCTATGGGTTCCACATCACTGACTCAACCAACCTTGGGTGGAAAGTATTCAGGGAAAAAAATGTGTCTGTATTGAAGTATAGAAGCTTGATGTTATTACATAAAATTACATATTATTTACATAGAATTTAAACCAAACTGGGTATTATAAGTAATCTAGAGATGATTTAAAGTACTTCTCACAGGAAGGTATGTACAAAAATTACAGGCAAATATGCCATCCTTTTTATTAAACATTTTATGCATATATTTTGGTATGTGGGGCGCTGGTATCCTCTGAATCATTCTCCTAAGGATGGTGGATGAATATACATGTAGTAGGTTACTGATCATCTTTTGCTTGTTGTTATTAACTTGACACAAAATTGAGTAATTTGGGAAGAAGAACCCATAACTGAGAAGACGCCTCCATCAGATTCGGCTGTGGGCAACTCTGTGGAGGTATTTTCTTCATTAATAGTTGATATGGAAGGGCCCACTGTGAGTGGTATCACCCTGGATTGGTGGTCCTGAGAACATAAGAAAGATTGCTGAACACGAGTCTGCAATGCTCGCCCAAGGTCTGTGCTTCAGTACCTGCCTCCAAGGTCCTGACCTGCCTGAGTTGCTGCCTTGGCTTCTCTCAAGAATGGAATGTGAGCAGCAGTCTTGTCATCCTTTGTTTTACATCTAGTATCCACCTATGAGTGAGTACATACCATGTTTGTCTTTCTGAGTCTGGGTTACCTCACTCAGGATGATTTTTTTCTAGATCCATCCATTTGCCTGCAGACCTCATGCTGTCATTGTTTTTCTCTGCTGAGTAGTACTCCATTGTGTATATGTACTACATTTTATTTATCCATTCTTCAGTTGAAGGGCATCTAGGTTGTTTCCTCCTAGTAAAGAGGACCCTAAGAAAGACACAGGGATTGCCCAATGACCGAGAAATGGATGAGATCTACATGAGCAAAATGGATGTAAGGGGTGGGGGGGTGCAGGGGGCGGTGGTAAAATGAAGGGCAAGGGTCGGGGGAAAGAGAGCTTAGGGGAGCAGGAGATCCCAGCTGGATCAAGAAAAAAAGAATGGAATGTGATCAGGATATGTAAGCCAAATATGCCCTTTCCTTCCGAACTGCTTTTGGTCATGGTCTTTATCATAGAAACAGAAAGCCACCTAGAACACTCACCATAAAGGCAGCCATACGGTATAATACAGATAGATGGTGACTGGAGACATTATGAGGCAAACCAGTCACAAACAGCCACATATTGTATGATTCCATTCTTAAGAAGTATCTAGTCTTGTTAAAATCATAGAACTAGAAAGTAGAAAGATAACTGCTGAGAACCAGGTAAAGGAATGAGTGTGTAAGTGGTACAGTTTCTGTTGTGAACGATGAACTGGCTTGAGTCTGAGTATACTTAGTACAACTGGACTTGGAAATGGGGGAAAGTAAACTTAATGCTATAAAAATGAAAGTATGTACATTATAATTTGGGCTAATTTATGGTGATATTTTATTTGTGCTGAAATATGATTTTATTTATGTTAATAAATAAAGTTGCCTGGGGGTCAGAGCTAATAGCAAGCCATTTATCAGTAGTCTGGCAGTGGCAGCACATACCCTTAATCCGATCACATGGCAGGCAATGTCTCTGTGTGTTCAAGGACACAGCCAGCATGGAGACACACGCCTTTAATCCCAGTACCAACCAGAGAAACCTGGAGGTCTGTATAGACAGGCAGTGACAAGGAAGTCACATGGTTGGGTTTAGAACCTAGAACCAATGAGAA